TATAGCTCCCATCCATCTTAACTTCTCAACTTATTCATATTTATTTGATATGCAGCAAAAAACAAACAATCTGAAAAGTCATAACTGCAGGGTTGCCAAACTCATGGGGTACTGAGACCAACAGCTTGATTGTCACAATGTGGCACGTTGGGGGCAACACTGGGCACAGCTGGAGGCACAGATAAAGTACTAGGCACAGATTGAGATGTGCAGAGTTGAGTACCCCTTGATCCAATTTTTATTTTTGTCATGTTCGGGAATTTCTTCCTGGACAAACCTGTAAAATCCTGGAAAAACATGAGACAAATTTACTCAACGCTGAGGTCCTGCAATTTATGTAATTTATGAGTAAGTTAAACTCAAATTTGGTTCGTTCTCATTTGCCGTGTTTAATCCCATATCCCATTACCATATGGCGTGTAGTTCTATTGACACCGTGTGCGAGTTTGAACACGGTCCGATTGGTAAATTAGCTGGGGAAAGTGCTGATAATGTGTCCGCCGTGAGTTTTGGTGGTGATTCGATGGCGAACGTTGCCGTGAATCAGCGAGTTTACGGCTTGCAAAAGTGCTCGTCTGTTGGTCTCTCGCCAGTGTTGGAGATTGTGAGCAAGCTGAAGGATGCCTCGCTCGACACACCCAAGACTGGACTGGCGGTAGCTGCTGACCGTGAACGGTTCCTGGGGAAAGCACTAGACGCACACCTCCTCCCAGATGACCATGGCAATGCATGAAGTATTACAACAATTGCGATTGGATATTTTTGCAAACAGAGCAATTCCCTACAAATTCGCAAATTGGTTTATTTTTTGTATTTTTTGATTAGATTTTAATTTTGCACTCGCACATTGCTCTCCAAACCTTGTGTTCTCAATCCCTACCCTGCCATCCATTTGTTACAATTGTTATCCCTATCCTCGAGATAGCCGCGAGTAATCGGCCCTCGCTTTACTAACGTTAGTTTTAAGTAATTTTGTAATCTAAACAATGAATATCGGCTCGGCAAAGCTACAGCAAATGAGCCTGGAAAAATAAACGCATTATTAAAAAAAAAACATTTTCAGAAACGTTCCTTATGACCAACAATGCCTTTTTGCATCTTCATATCACCATTTTTTAATCCAGCCTTATTTTTGGAAAGGGCATACAGAAAAATATCAAGCTTATCTACAGAAAACTTTTTATCGAAAAATGTTTACCTGACCGGTTTGGTGTCTTGGGTAATATTGCAGACAATAGATGAGACTATTTGAAAAAATATGACTTTTAAAAAAAAATACCAACCTTTTTTTTATTTCAAATAGAATCTTTAAAACAATTTTTTCTTAAAAAGGATTTTTAGTAAAACAGCAAAAAAAAGGTTATCTTCCATTTAATTCCACTTAATTTTGGTATCCATGACAGAGACGTATTTCGACTACAATGTGCAGTATTCATCAGTGTCATTCCCACTAAAGAACTTATCAAAAATCGAACCCCCTTAAGTACTCATCCCCTAGGTAAAAAAGTCAAGATCATAGGTATTAAAATGAAACTACAATGTGTTGAATCGGAACCTACCTAACTAATAAAAACCAAAGATTTAAGTAAGCTAAAGGAGAAAAATCTATACAAATCTCTAATAAGGAAAATCCCCAAAGGCTTGGTAGCCATCATAATGAAGTAATGAATTGGGTTGTTAGCGGAATGCTAAATTAGTATTTTTTTAATTTGTTGATTTGATTTAGGGGACAAAAAATGCCATAAATTGCACTATAGGTAAAGATGGAAAAATGGTAGACAAAAAAGTTATGATTTAAAAAAAAACTCCGGAAAAATATCCAAAACTTGGTCCAATTACTTTTTTGACTTTATATAATAAAAATACACCAAATTTGCAATAGAAAAGCACCGAGGTAAAATTTTGCCAAGTCGCACCGTTTTCGAGATGTAGCGGTGTGAAAGTAGATATTTTTAAAATGTTGGTAGTTTTTGAACATTTTTAAATGTATTTCGCGGTTCTCCAGTTCCGACAATATTTTTTTCAGAAAGATCAGAAAATTTTGCAATAAAAATGCAAATTTTACATTTTAAAAATATATACTTTCAAACCGCTATATCTTGAAAACGGTTCGACTTAGCAAAATTTTACCCAGGTGCTTTTTTATTGTAAAATTGGTGTACTTTCATTATCATTTTCATCGAAACAGTAATTGGACCAAGTTTTGGAACTCAAGCTCAATCACATTCAAGATTCGCCAATCGTTTTATTTGTTAACATTCATGGTAATAACAGCAACTCGATGATTAAAAAGGAGCTCGTCTGCCTAGTGGCAAACGTTTTTGCTTACTGAGCAGAAGACCGTGGGTTCAATCCCAAACTCCTTCGCGTTGTATGATCGCTAGGACATCAATTTAGCTTATCGATTACCAAAACGAACCCTGCTGCAAACCCAACCCTATTACCCAATATTACAGTGATTCCTCGTGGAAGTGCAGAGGTGTTCTCGGCTTCCATCATAGCGAATGTCACGACAACACATTCCTACTCCTTCCTTTCTTGACCTGTGAAGATCGACGAAAAAAACAAACGAAAGGAAAAAAAAAATGACCAAAATTCGTAGTTTTATCACGTAATATGAAAGTAGCTGCCAATTCATAGCGTGGATAATGTTGTTATCTTCAAATTGGCGAAAATCCATATGGGACTGAAATGCGATTCTGGGCAGTGCATATGCTTCAGACAACAAATTTAATGGCAGCTCTTGCAATAAACTGCCTCGTACATGCAATTTCACGAGATGATTTTCAAGACGCAATGCATTTGGGAAACAAACTTTGTTCGAAAACTAAGCTATCATAAACATTGTTAAACTGTTCAAAAAACCTTGCGGCGACATAAATTACAGAATGTATTCAAGTGCTGAAATATTGCAAATTTTGGGTGCTTTTCATGAAAATCTATAGTAGAATCTTACATTTCCCGGTTGGGTGTATTATGCTGATTTATTAATCACTAGCTGAGTGTGCCCGGTCTTGCTCGGAATTCAATATTAGCTTGAGTTTATGCGCCGATTTAAAAAAAAACATGCTATATTGTACGTAGCCCCCCCCCCTATTATTTAAGGGGCTACCTCCTATGATTATCTCCTTATACCCCCACACTCGCCCCCACATGCCTAATTTGGTTCCATTTGCTTGATTAGTTCTCGAGTTATGCAGAAATTTCTGTTTCATTTGTATGGGACCCTTACAGAAGGGGGAGGGGTCTCGAACCATCATAAGAACCTTCCACGGCCCCAAAAACTCCTGTATACAAATTTTCACGCCAATCGGTTCAGTAGTTTCCGAGTCTATAAGGGTCAGACAGACAGACAGACAGACAGACAGACAGACAGACAGACAGACAGACAGACAGACAGACAGACAGACAGACAGACAGAAATTCATTTTTATATATATAGATAGATATGTAAAATGTCGCATTATATTACAAATACCTAAATGTGTAAAATGCACAATAATAAAACGAAAAATTGCATTTTGTCTTACGTTTCCTTTTAGAAGATAAGTTCGGCCTTCAACAACTTCCAAATTGACATAAATCAAAGAACAGTTGATTTGTTGGAATAAATTTAAACTTATTTCTTAACTACCAAACAAATGTACCAGAGTGTTTCAGTATTTCTCAGGATAATCAATATTGCGAATAAGCTACTGGGAACGCCCCTGCGAGAATATTTCTTGTAGTGATTTTGTTTAAACTTTTCCTCATAAGAAGGGAGCAGCATGGGTAAATAGGAATTCTAAAGATCCCTATTTTATAAAGAATGCATTCAATAATGAATATGAATTTTTGTGCATGGTAAACTAAATTTGTACTGCTACATACAGCATCACATTGTGCAAAATAGCAGAGGTTCACATTCCGAAAAAATTCAATAAAATGGAGGTACTTTCTTAGCACAATTAAAAAACGCACAGCTATAAAGCTAGACCATGTTGGATCCGGCGGGTGCGATCCCCGGTTTATACTAGGAATTGTTCAGGTTTGAAAAGTTCTCGACTTTTCTGGTAATAGATATAATGCTGCTTACCACAGGATGTATGAATGTAAAAATGATCTTGTCTTAGAATGCTTGTAACCGCCTAAAGAGTAGAAGATGAATTTCATTACTGTCCGATGAAAATTTGCTGCACCAAACCGGAAAATGTAAGATTCCATTACAGATTTTCATTAAAAGTATGCAGAATTTGCAATGTTTCGCGACATGACCGGATTCTGAAATGTCTTCACCGGTAGGTTTTAAAAATAATTTTGTAATTCTTATGTTAGCTTATTTTTCGAACCAAGTTTTTTTTTCCACAAACACACTGCGGCTAGAAAACCATCTCGTTAAAGTTTTAAACACCACTCCCGTAACCCATTTTTAATTAATCGTAGACGCGGCAAAATCACCAATCAATTAAACTTCTGTCCTTCAATGACTTTCTCACTTTTCGCAGAATAAATCCCAATAATTTTTCCGCACCACATCGATATATGTCATCTTTGCCTACATCGTCGGTCGGGGTTCAAATTGAAAGTACTTAACCTCTTTCGCCCAGTGCAGCCAAGCAGCAACAACAATCGGAACGGGAGGTTTTAATTTTTCATTCACCCACGCTAACGACCGTGGGGCACCGGACGCTTCTATTTGAAACCACAACCTTACATCGAGTCGATTTTTGATCTAAATTATTCAGCTGTCCATTCGGTGGGTTTCCTTTCATCCATTTATCATAATTTCGTTATCTTTTCTTCGAAAGGGGTCTTCTCGTTTATCAACATGCAACAAAAATCACTAGCATTGACATTTCCATCAGAATCTAATTATGCTTTCGTTTCTTCATTAGCGTCCATTTTTCTCCAACGGCTCCAACCGAAATGCGAAGTAAAATAAAAAAAGTATAACACAATAAACAAAATATCGTATTCCATTAGCCAGATGACTACACACTCCTTGCTAGTTTGATATATACCTTCCTTTTTGTCGCCCGATGAGACACTTGGAAAACTTTCTACAGTTCACAGTCACACCAACAAGAGAGCACCCACTAAACTCGCGACGGGTTTTCCGTTTCTTCTGCTGCTGCAGCTGTTCTGTGTCCCGACGGACTAGGGAAAAAGTTTCCAAACTCACTTCACAACGGTTCTTCGCGATCACTATTCAAGCACCCAAACGACCTGGGGGGCGGGAAAACCCTATTAAAATCCGATTTCGTTCTGCTGCCAGTGGAACTAGGGAACCACTTGTTGAAGCGCGATTGAGCGAAATTTTCCGCCAGCAGCACGCTTTTATACACGTTGCCACTGTTCTAAGCTAGCGCGCGGTCCTTTTCCACATACAAAGCGGGCGGCGTGAACGGACGGATGAACCTCTTCCTTGCTTTGGATGGTTGCGAGCGTGTTCATCATCCTCAAAGGGGGTGGAAGAGGTGGGAAAGTAGAATTCACCCAAGCCGAATGGAATCACGAAAAACCTCGTGTTCCGTTGCCGAAGGTTTGCTACTATTCCACGTTGTCGTCGTTGGCTGCTCCTTTCATCGTCGTCATCGTCGTTGCGAGGGAAAATACGAACGAAGATTTCATTCATAAATTCAAATCTAATTCCCCACCACCACCACCTCAATCGGTGTGTCCCTCTCCCATGGAATGGCAGACATGGAGTAAATCGAGCACGCATGTGGGTAGTAAGAATATCGTGTATTTACAGGAACGTGGAGTGGTTTGAATGTTGACTGGATTCTCCGACACAGTGGGGATTTTTGGAACAAAAAGGATTAAAATTGGCTGCCACTGATGTCCCAAATATGTTTTATATAAAATCTAGACCAACAATTGAAATAGGCGGAACAACTAAACGTAAACAATGACTTGAAACGCAAATTTTCCCAATAATCCAAACACACCTACGCAAACTAACAATGCCATTCGATAAATGAAGTTTGTTCTATCGGATGCTGGTGTTAGATTGGGTGGATGTGTTTTTATTATTGAGAAATTTGCGTTTAATTGTTCCGCCTATTTCAATTGTTGCCCTATTAACATATGTTTTCTTAACCCTTTGCCTATGCCAAAAAAAAAACTTGTTTGTGCCAATTTGACCCCAAATTCAAATTGTCATATCTCAGCGAAGGGTCAACGGATTTTTTAAATTTCAAGTGTTATGTAAATTAAATATAATCTACTTTCAGTTAAAATTATCAGACTTTTTGACTTTTAAATGAAAAAAAAAAATTCATATTGCGGTTTTAGCGGCATCCAATTATAATACTTACATGCATACATTTATTTGTACAACATCACATTTAAGATAAGACATAATCAACAATAGTACGCCACAATACTCGGTTTGCGGCTGCCGCTCTCCATCCTCGGTCATGCCCAATGCTCGCTAGATCACGCGTGCCAACCGGATCAGTAGCGAACACCAACTTTGCAGGGTTGTTGTCCGGCATTCTTGCAACATGCCCTGCCCACCGCATCCTTCCGGCTTTGGCCACCTTCTGGATGCTGGGTTCGCCGTAGAGTGCAGCGAGCTCGTGGTTCATTCTTCGCCGCCACACACCGTTCTCCTGCACACCGCCGAAGATCGTCCTTAGCACATGTCGCTCGAAAACTCCGAGTTGTTGCAGGTCCTCCTCGAGCATAGTCCATGTCTCGTGTCCATACATAGAGGTCCACCGGTCTTATTAGCGTTCTGTACATGGTACATTTGGTGCGGGGGTGAATCTTTTTTGACCGTAGTTTCTTCTGGAGCCCGTAGTAGGCACGACTTCCACTAATGATGCACCTTCGTATTTCACGACTCACATTGTTGTCAGCCGTCATTAAGGATCCAAGGTAAACGAATTCCTCCACTACCTCGAAAGTATCCCCGTCTATCGTGACATTACTTCCTAGACGAATCCTGTCATGTTCGGTTCCGCCTACTAGGATGTACTTTGTTTTTGGCGCACTCACCACCAGTCCGACCTTTGCTGCTTCGTGTTTCAGGCGGGTGTATAGTTCTGCCACCGTTCCAAATGTTCTTGCGATAATGTCCATGTCGTCCGCAAAGCATACAAATTGACCGGATTTCGTAAAAATCGTACCCCGGCTGTTGAGCCCGGCTCGTCGCATTACACCTTCTAGAGCAATGTTGAAGAGTAGGCATGAGAGTCTGTCACCTTGTCGCAGTCCCCGGCGAGATTCGAATGAACTGGATAGTTCACCCGAAACCCTTACGCAGTTTTGCACACCGTCCATCGTTGCTCTGATCAGTCTGATTAGCTTCCCAGGAAAGCCGTTCTCGTCCATGATTTTCCATAGCTCTGTGCGGTCGATACTGTCGTATGCCGCCTTAAAGTCGATGAACAAATGATGCGTTGGGACCTGGTATTCACGGCATTTCTGGAGGATTTGCCGTACGGTGAAGATCTGGTCCGTTGTCGATCGGCCGTCAATGAAGCCGGCTTGATAACTTCCCACGAACTCGGTCATTTTAGGTGATAGACGACGGAAGATGATCTGAGATAGCACTTTGTAGGCGGCATTCAAAATGGTAATCGCTCTGAAGTTCTCACATTCCAAATGGTCGCCTTTCTTGTGAATGGGGCAGATTACCCCCTCCTTCCACTCCTCCGGTAGCTGTTCTGTTTCCCAGATCCTGACTATCATCCGGTGCAGGCAGGTTGCCAACTTTTCTGGGCCCATCTTGATGAGTTCGGCTGCGATACCATCCTTACCAGCTGCTTTGTTGTTTTTGAGCTGCTGAATGGAGTCCTTAACTTCCCTCAGCGTGGGAGTTGGGTCAGTTCTGTCATCTGCTGCACTGACGTAGTCGTTTCCTCCATTGCGCTGGTCTCTCGTGCCTACGTTCTCCTTGCCATTCAGGTGCGCATCGAAGTGCTGCTTCCACCTTTCAATCACCTCACGTCCGTCCGTCAAGAGGCTCCCGTCCTTATCCTTGCACATTTCGGCTCGCGGCACGAAGCCGTTGCGGGATGCGTTGAGCTTCTGGTAGAACTTCCGTGTTTCTTGGGAACGGCACAGCAGTTCCATTTCCTCGCACTCCGCTTCTTCCAGGCGGCGTTTTTTCTCCCGAAAGATGCGGGTCTGCTGTTTCCGCTTCTGTTTATACCGTTCCACGTTCTGTCGGGTTCCATGCTGCAGCATTACCGCCCGCGCTGCGTTCTTCTCCTCCAAAATCGCTATGCACTCCTCGTCGAACCATTCATTCTGTCGACTTCTTTCCACGTACCCGATGGTGCTCTCGGCTGCGCCGGTGATGGCTGCTTTTACTGTACTCCAGCAGTCCTCTAGAGGGGGCACATCGCCCTCCTCTGGCAACGCTGCCTCGAGATTCTGCGCGTATGCTAAAGCGACATCCTGTTGCTTCAGTCGCTCTAGGTTGTACCGTGGCGGGCGTCGGTACCGTACATTGTTGATGACGGAAAGTTTTGGGCGCAGTTTGACCATCACCAGGTAGTGGTCAGAGTCGATATTAGCGCCACGATAGGTCCTGACGTCGATAATGTCGGAGAAGTGCCGTCCATCAATCAGAACGTGGTCGATTTGTGATTCCGTCTGCTGTGGTGATCTCCAGGTGTAACGATACGGGAGGTAGTGTTGGAAGAAGGTGCTACGTATGGCCATGTTCTTGGAGGCGGCGAAATCGATGAGTCGTAGGCCGTTCCCGTTCGTCAGCTGGTGGGCGCTGAACTTTCCAATCGTCGGTCTGAATTCCTCCTCCTGGCCTACCTGAGCGTTTAGGTCTCCTATGATGATCTTGACGTCGTAGCTTGGGCAGCGATCGTACTCGCGGTCGAGCTGCGCGTAAAATGCGTCCTTGTCATCATCAGTGCTTCCGGAGTGAGGGCTGTGCACGTTGATTATGCTAAAGTTGAAGAATCGGCCCTTGATCCTCAACCTGCACATTCTTTCGTCGATCGGCCACCAACCGATCACGCGCTTCTGCATTTCACCCATCACGATGAAAGCTGTGCCCAGCTCGCGTGTGTTGCCGCAACTCTGGTAGATGGTATGATTACCTCTGAACGTTCGCACCATGGATCCTGTCCAACACACCTCCTGCAGCGCTACGATGCCGAATCCGCGGTCCTTCAGTAGATTGGGGAGTATTCGGGTGCTCCCGATGAAATTGAGAGATCGACAGTTCCACGTGCCAAGTTTCCAATCGCAAGTCCTATTTCGTCGCTGGGGTCGTTGCCGTTGGTCTCGGTTCGTATTCCTCTGTTGCTGATTTTCCGTTGCAATGCTTTTTTACGGCTTGCTCGCAGGGCCTGACACCAACCCCCTAACAACGTTTTTCCCAAACCCAGTCGTCATAATCGAGTACCACTTGGTTTAACCTGAAAAGATATAAAAGTGCGCTGCTGTCTAGCCTCCTATGAAAGAAAGGCATGGTTGGCATATGGTTGCATGCTCAGTAAGCATTTACGTTGACGACGACTCTTTAACTATTTCCGCCTATGGTATACTCCCATATGCGTTTGACAATCTGTGCATGAAATCTAGCAGACTTTGTCCTTTCTCTTCACTCCATCATGGTACCATCGAGCCGCCTCTTCACGCAAATATTGACAGTATCTTATGGGATTTTCATATGAGCGAAAGGGTAAGGATATGTGTATCATATTTCATGCACAGACTGACGTTTGCTGATGGGATTTTACCATAGGAGTAAATAGTTACAGAGTGGCCGAAAAGACGAATTGTAAATTGTCAAGGTAATGCGGACATTCTTTTTTCGACTACCCCATTTAAATCAAAGATTTTTTTCAAAATATTTTAAAGGTCATCATGATTTGAGGAGTTTGTGGATTTTTAAAATAGATAGATATGTTAAAAAATGACGGAGTTGATGATAGTTTCAGCATTTTTCAGTACCAGACGTAAGGGTTTGGGAGTTCTAACATGAACTGCTCTTTGACGGATGAAAGCTTATCCGAATGAATATGCTCAAAAATTGTTTTCCTTGACTCTTTCTTTATATTTTTTTTTTCAAATTGCAGCATAAATTTGATATGTTGCCCATAGTAAACTATAAGGCAAAGTTTCATGGAATTCGGAGAGGGTTAAGTTTAATCGATTCGTCAGTTGGCGTCACCTCCAGTTTAGGAAGGTTGTTATTTGAGGTGTCGGCAAACTACTACGTTGTTTTCGATATGTCCAATGTGGTTTCTTCAGATTTTGGATAGATGGAACTATTAGTGACCTATTTGATTTGTTACCTGCTGATCCGCCAGCAAAAACGTTTACCTTGTAAGACCTTTCATTAGAGCTTGTTTGAAATACTATTGTCAAACGTGACCACTGTAAGGAGCATCGGATGATTCGAACTAAGTCACTTCCAAATGATCAACATCGTTTATTCTACAAACTCAACTAATCTACCTTGTTTCATTCATATTATCACAATCAATTTTAGATGCGCCCATCAAGCACATTCACGGACTAGAATTCTGCGAGGCTATCGAACAACCCGTACTTACTTCATTCCAAAACCTTTCTTGGTCTTCTTCTTTTCCAGGACAATGATTTCATCCGCGATGCTGTAAATTTCATTAACAGTCTGCAATTCAAAGCAATCAATCCCATTACTCAACCACATACATGATTAAGCACATAAAGGGAATACTTACATCTGCCTCCTTCAATCTGGTAATTTTCGGATCCTCATTCCGTATCTTGACCTTCTTCTTCTCCAACGCTTTGTTCATCTCTTCTTTCATAGCCTCCGCTTCAGAAGCCTCCACTACATCCACTGCATCCACTGCCTCACTGGTATCGGCATCTTCCGCTTCGGACCCACCAGCTCCCTCGGAAACCTCAACCTGGCTGCTGGCATCGTCCAGCGGATCCGTATCGTCCCCAGAATCCTTACTATCCTTTTCGATCTTGATCATAATCGAAGTCTCCAGATCGCTTGCCATCTCCGGCTGATTCATCGAGCTGTAGCCTTCTTCCGGCGAGGAAATATGCCCTTCCGCTCCGTCCCGCTTCTTGACGGCATGCTTCTTTTGACGTTGCTTCTTCTCCTTGCTCCGATCGGAGTCCATCCGTTTATCATCGTTCAAATCGAAATCACGCTGCTGGATCTTTTCGCCCAGTTCTACACGTTGCTGCATCAGCAGAGACCGAAGATCCATGTCCCGGCAGGGACCTTTCTTCGTTTTCATCCGCAGCAGGTTCAATGCTCGCTCGTTATCCTCAATCATGTAGAGCTTTTCCTTCTCCAGCAAGGCCTCCCGACGGGACCGGCGCTCGATTTCCTTCTGCCGGTTGTAGTCCTCCATCTGGAGGCGTTCCCTCTCCCACCGGAGGCCCTGCTTTATCAATCGTTCGGCATTCTTTTCCCGGATGGTTTTGAGCTGCAATGAAAGGTGGTGGGTTGGAAAAAAATTAAGGCGCAATTCGCATCTCATAATTAATAGCCCCGTCGTCGTGGCGCAACATACCTTCTCGCGTTTGTTGCAGATATGTTGGTTGGTTTTCTTGTTAACGGTGAAAACCGAGCTGCTCAAGTCTTCGGGAATGGAATCTCCGGCTCCGGAAAGGATCAGGTTCCGTTCCCTTTCGAGCTCCTTTGCCTTTAATTGGAGGGGAAATTGGGTTTGAGCGTGTGTCGTGGAATGTGAGAGTTTTTGGTTTGTTAATTAGTGGAATGGTTGGAGCGCGTTTATTTTGAGTTGATTAATTTGCTGCTCAGATATGAGGTATTATTGTATCAAAAGTTTAGATGAAGTTTTTTGTTAATTCAGGAGCATGGATATGATTAAAAATAAAACAGCAAAAAAGTTATCTTCCATTTACTTCCACTTAATTAATGTTCGTATCCATGACAGATACATATTTCGACTACAATGTGCAGTTTTCATCAGTGTTATTCCCACTTATCAAAACCTAACCCCCGTTTAGTACTCATCTCCTATTTAGGTAAAAATGTCCAGATCCTAGGTATAAAAATGAAACTACAATGTGTAGAATCGCAAGATTTAAGAGTTGGTTGGAAATGCTATCTAGAATGATCTTAGAAGAGGGTAGGTGGATAGTTCCGTTAGAGTACGGCAGTATAAAAATTGAATGAAAGTTGAAAATGAGCGAAGGGCCATTAATGCGACAGTACAAGTCAAACGCACACTCTTTGCTTAACCCGTACGATGTACGCGGAGATTTGAAGTATGTCTTCAAATCTACAGGCAAAAAGTGTGTGCCTGACTCTACTCAAATACTGCCTGCGACTGTGGAATAGTTCTAGCGACGTTTCATCACTACCTAAAGCAACACGTTGCCGAAAGCATTTCCAGTCAGTTCTTTCCCCAACCATTGTGTTGTTGCTCTCGTTATGACCAACGTAGTCATCTCAGAGAGAAAGCAGTAGGGTGGTTGTTGCGTGCTGTACTATCATCAAGATTTAATTCCACTTCATTAATTTTGGCATCCATGACAGATACGTATTTTGACTACAATGTTCAGTCTTCATCAGTGTCATACCCACTAAAGAACTTATAAAAACCTAACCCCCTCATCTCCTAGGTAAAAATGTCAAGATCACAGGTATAAAAATGAAGCTACAATGTGTAGAATCGGAGCCTACCTAACTAAAAAACCAAAGCTAACCGAATTCTCATCGAGTTAGGGAAAGATTATACTTCTATTCAATTTCCATACTGCCGTACTCTAGCGAAACTATCAACCTAACCTCTTCAGACCTTTCTCTCTTGCTAATAAATTATCACACTAAAAGCTTTAGGTTAGATAGCATTTCCAACCAACTCTGTAAATCGTAAACTTCAGGTATGAAGTAACATAAAAACACTTAAAATGTAACTTTCTAGATGTGCAGTAATTTTTAAAGTTCTGCTAACTTTGATAAAGCTCAGTGAATTATGTTGAAGCTCAGTAGTTTAAGTTCTTAGTACTTCAGTGAACTTCGTAGAAGTACAGAGCACGTTGTAGAACTTCTTCGTACTTTGGAGAAGTTGAGAGAATTTTGTAGTACTACATCAAATTGACTAGTAATTTAGCGAACTTTATTGAAATTTAAAAGAAACTCTTGGAACCATTTCCATTAACTTCATAGAATGTTCCAATAACTTCATAGAACTTCGTAAAATTTCAAGGAATTTGTTCAGGGAACATCTAAGATATTTAGGAAATGTAATAGAAATGCCGGGAACTTCTTTAATTTTCAGAGAACTTCGTATAAATTCAGAGAGCTTTTTAAACATTCTAGAAAATTTCATACAAGTGACACATTCTACATAACTTTTTGAAGCTAAGCACTGGCTCAGCGAAGGGAGAGGGAGTTTAGGGTTCAAACCCCTTCCTCCATATCCATGAGGCCAATACAAAAGGTTAATCAACTTATACACTTTTTCATGTGAAAAAATTCGTTCCATCCTTTTGTTTGACACATATCATTAAAAAAATATTTTGTTCAAGATCCCCCTATGAAAATTTCTGTAGTAGTCTCAAAATTCAGGGAAAGACTTTTACTTCAAATCGTGAAAATTTTGTGTTTCCGATTTTTTTTTGTATTTATTGCATTGTACCTAACACACCATTGGCTGATAGAAGTCAAAAGAAAAGTAGGTTGAATATTCCATTGTAACTTTTTTGGTAATAAAGTCTAAGAGTTGGTTGGAAATGCTATCTAACATGAAGCTTTAGTGTGATAATTTATTAGCTAGATAATGTTCTTTAGAAGAGAATAGGTGGATAGTTCCGTTAGAGTACGGCAGTATGAAAACTGAATAGAAGTTGAAAATGAGCGAAGGGCCATTAATGCGACAGTACAAAGTCAAACGCACACCTTTTGCCTAACCCGTACGATGTACGCGGAGATTTGAAGTATGTCTTCAAATCTACAGGCAAATAGTGTGCGCCCGCCTTAGCTCATTACTGTCTGCGGCTGTGGAATAGTTCTAGCGACGTTTCATCACTACCTAAGCCCCACGTTGCGAGAGCATTGCCAGTCGATGTTTTTTTTTTAACTTTATTAGAGAGATTTTTAGCCGTTGGCTAGTTCATCTCTAGGCCAGTCGATGGTGTGTTATATTGTAATTCTTCTTTACCCAACTATTGTGTTGCTCCTCTCGTCATGACCAACGTGGTCATCTCAGAGAAAGCAGTAGGGTGGTCAGCATTGTTGACGGCTACTCCCGCCATGAGTTGATACATTCAAAGTGTGATTTAAAGAACATTCTCTAGCTAATAAATTATCACACTAAAGCTTCATGTTAGATAGCATTTCCAACCAACTCTGAAAATCACAAACTTCGCGTATGAAGTAACGAAAATACCCATAAGTGTTAAATAAATTTATAAAATGTTAATATTTTGATGTATCCAGAAAATGATTTTGGAATCCCCCAGAAGTTTTTTCCGACTACCCTGAATTTTTGTGTGTATATGTTCAATATGTTTCATCCAATTACTCGGGAGTTTCTTTTAAATACCTTCGGAAGTATTAATCTGGTTTCCTTTGAAAAATTCCCCGTTAAGATTTTTTTAAAGGTTCTCCAGGAGATTCTTTCAACTTATCATGAATGTGTTTTGACGCAGGATTACTACTTTTGGTAACATATTGGGGTGCAATTTCATAAAAACCAATTTGATCGCGTTACGAAAAGTGGTCAAGTTTTGATCACATATAACTATGTCAATAGCGCGTCAAGCCAATCGATTGGAAACTATTCTACAAATGTCGAACTGTTGCAATGGTGATCAAAATTATCTCCGATTGCCTGCAAAAAGCGCTTTCCCTAACACAGATTTCAAAATAGAATTCCATCCGGTCTCGCCAATCGGTGCTTTTTCAATCACCGTATGTGGTGGTGTCCGGTCGGTCATCATCATCAGCAGCAGCAGCTGCAGCATTGCTTTCAACGCATGGCGTTAAACATTGTTCTCCAGTACACAACGAAAGGCTGCCCGCAAGTAGCGAGCAGCAGCCCACATGAGCGTCCATTCACCGAAGAAGGAGGAAGAAGCCACACCGCTACTGATCGGATTCAGTAGCTCTTCGTGAATCGCTGTGGGCCATCTTTGCCAAGCGCGTCACCCTCATTCCAAACAACATACAACTCGCCAGCCTCATCCGTGTTGAACACCCTAATAGCTCAGCATTTCTCAACCATCACGACAAAACGGTTATTTTCAGGACCACCATACATTATTGTTGTATTAAGAGTTAAATTTCATTGAACGTTCGCTCGCGTGGCTGCCAGCTACAGCACCCCTAAAGCTCTTTGATAATGTACCCAGCAATCAAGCGTTTGTGGTCCAATGCGTAACAATATTGAAGTGGTACGGCAATTACAATGACCGAATACCACATGACCTTGTCAATTAACCAGAAACACTTAGAATTAAGGTAATGCGTAATTTTGTCATCAGAAAACGAGGCGTTTCCGTGATGGGAAAAAGTGGTTTCCCTAACACAGCCACCGAATATTGATACCGACCACGTAACCATAAGTCAAATCTACGATCGAGTCTGGGATAAAAGATGAAAGTCTCGCTATTAAAGATAACCTAAACTAACCGGGTCTGGGATACAACCTCTTAATTTTTTTTTATTCCGCTGAAAAAGTCTCCAGACTACTTCCGGAATTTTGTGCTGACTTTTCTTGGAATTTTCCCAGCAACAGCTTTTCGCGGAAGGATGTTACAGTTTTACTAGGATGCTTTTATGGCTCCCTCTGGAGGCTTCTGATTTCCACCAGAAGATTCCTGAAACTTCTTACTAGCACAAACAATAGTAATAACAATGAATGACGCCAAAATATAAGACAATGAATTTTTGATCCTGAAAACTCATCGGTGATTTTTCCGACGTTTAATTTTGCAAGGTAAAACTCATAGGCGCATAAACCCATGCATGAGATTTGAGTTTTTGAGTTTTTCCGAACACTGCTTCCTCATATAGTTTCTATCAACATCATCTAGGAAATTTTGTCCATACTGGATCTGAAACTTTCTTTTGACTGAAACTGGACGATTTTTTTCTGGAAACTTTTTCCGAGTATTCCAGAAGTTCTGCTAACATACCCTGAAGATGTCTGCCAAATTCCTTTGGAAGCTTCTCTTAACTCGACTACTCTGGAAGTTCTGTCCAACCTCTTTTCAAAAGTGTCCAACAATTGTTGGTTGATAGTTGTGCCCTGCAAATTTCCCAGTAATGGTTTTCTGGCCGGTATGGGTTATTTTTAGTGAAAATGTATATTTAGCATGCCAGGAAACCCTCCCAGATGGAAATCCTCCCAGATGGAAATCCTTCCAGATGGAAATCCTGGCCGGCCTACTGAATCAGATGGATCTACATCTAATTTCAGGAATCTCCGGTGGAAATAAGGAAAAATCAGGAATTCAGGAAACTTGGAATTTAAAGAATTTAAATGATAAAAATTTCAGGATCTTCTTTTAACTTCAGGGCACTCCTTTCAAGTGTAATGGACTTGCAATCGATCAGGGAATTCCGTAGAAGCTCAGAAAATTTTGTAGAACTTCGCGGAAAATCAACGAAAATCTAAAAAGTTCAGGGAACTTCGTAAAAATGTGAAGATCTTCATGTTTGTTCGATATT